CTCCCTTTTTCATTAGTCTCTTAAACATGCTTTTGTTCCTTCTTTTAAATACTTTTACTGCCAATTTTGGAAGAAAAACGTGGTAAATGGTATGTATTCATTCCTCCACTTTTATCTGGAATTCCTTTTCTGTCTTAATTTGGTTCAGCTTATATCCACATACACCAAGGCTAGACTTAAAGATAAAATCAATTATTTTAATTTCAATTTTATCAGATTTGGTCAATAAATTTGTTTCTATGTTCTTCAGACTTAATCAGTTTTTATATAAGTCAAAGTTGGTTGAGTATTTTAAGTTTCTATTACTATAATGACTTCATATTCAAACACTGGATAAGAAAAGTTGATTATGGGCTTGGCATCAATCTATACGGTTTTACAGAGAGAGAGAAAAAAAAAACACTTTCAGATAGTGGTATCAAAAAAGGGTGATATATATTTTTATCATCTCCTCTCCTTCCTTGTTTGCAAGCTACTAACAGTCACACCCAAGGATAAAACTTTCCTATGCATTTACAGCTTTTTCACTTCCAAAGACCTGACTGCTAAACAAAGGCAGCTTGACCAGCCCACAGTTTTATGATGGTCTTGAGAGGGGCTTTGTTTCACATTCTGGTTGTATTTTCAGTGGGGCTCATTCTTAACTGTTTCATGATTTGGGGAGACATATTGCTGATTTTATTGTTCAGAGCCTTTCTTCTCCTTTTTCTTGTAGAATGAGTGATGTTCCACACGGAGGATTAAGATATATAATAACAAAACAGAAACTCTCACGTTTAGCTGTAGTTAGATTTATGGTTAAGTTTATGGAGATTACTTAGGGCTGGGAACATATGTCCGAGAACGTCTCTGCAGTTACCACTGTGCATGGGGTGAGACGCTGTTACAGACTATGGACAGTAAACACCTCTGAGGTTGTGTGTCACTTCCTGTAGGCCCATGAGTCTTTCTGAGTTAAGTAGAAAGGTGTCTGTTAGTAATGCAAACAAAACCTAGTTTAACCTCTGATTCCCAACATCTGGAATCCTTATCTCTGTGGCAATTGTGCGGTTCACTGAACACTCACCATTCCAGTGGTCCACTGAAGAAGGATTTTGGCTTGAAAAGAGACCGCCATGGAAAAAAAAGTCTAATTCAGAGTAGTTATCACTGAGAATATGAAAAGGATTTGTGATGGTGATGTCCCTCTGACTCCACAGCTGGTCTGCGTGGATTGTGCTCTAGTGAGAGCCTGTTTCCCTAATGCCGTGAGAAAAGACATAGATCCTTCCTTTGGACCTTATTGCAAACACAAGTTTTTTTTTTATTGTACGCTTTAAAGACTCTTTAATCCGAAAACTTAGTTTCAACTTTTTATTTCTCTGTATGCTTCTGAATGGAATCCAAACAATTCAACACTGTTTTTTTTTTTTCTTTTTCAGAAATGGATGAAGGATTCAAGTATACTTTTTTGATGTCCTGTGGCCATCTTTGCATTTTTATATTCTTCATTAAACATAAAACAAAGAGTTTTGGTTCTGAATACAAGAGAATATAAGTTGTTAAGACCATTAACAACTCGTTAATGGTAACAGGCATTCTGGATCTTTTCCCACAGCTTCTGGGGACACACTCTTTCTCAAATGCTGGGTAGAACAGAAAGTGTGGTTAAGGCTGATTTGAGAATGAAGTAGGAATTGGTGCAGCAGTTTTGCAACGGCATCAAGATCCAAGGTCAGGGAAGAAGCAAGACCTTTACCCAGCAGAGTTAACTATAAGCCATAAAAGTATCTAGGAGCAGACCTGAGTGAAGCACGTGTTCAGTTAGTTATTGAAACAAAAGTATGTAGCTCCTCTCAAGTTCCTGGTAACTACTTCAGGGCTGATTGACTAGGTATTTCTGTGTATGTAATTGCTTTTCTCCATTTAAGAGTAAACTAGAAGGAACAGATACTATATAGCTTATGGAGGTTTGTTTCTTCTAGCAAGTAGCAACTTTAGTTTTTTATTGGTTGAAGCCCTTGGGCACGTTTTAAAATACTGCCTTGTAAAATGTGATGAGTGTATTCCTAAAGCTCTAGTGTCCTAACTGAACTCTCCACAGCCCCACATTCCTTTACATGCATGTCTCCTAACCGGACTTTCGGGAAATTTTTTTTCTACCAACTTCTCATTGATAATATAAATAACCATCACTTGTATAACATAGAATAGCTTACAAATACTGTCACATGCCTGACCTCATTGGTCCTTATTCTGTGAAGCAAATATAGTTATTACTGTTTTACGAATGACAAAAGAGATGCTGAGAAAAATGGATTTGACCAAGGTCACACAGTTAATAAATAATAAAGGTGAATTCAGAATGCAAGACTTCAGACTCCAAAACACTTCATTGTTTTTTAAGCAGAAGCAGAGTTAAGATCCTTTGCTTTCGTCTTCATCAGAGAATAACAGTCAAACGTAAAAATAGCTTATTTATAATTATAGTCCAAAGCAGTAGCAGAGAGCTAAAAGAATTAATTACTGAGTATTTATTGATACTTGTATTATGTCCATTACTGTGTTAAGAACCATATATCAGTGGTTTGCAAAAGCTTTTTCTTATGCCAGTTTTATAAGGAAACTTTCAGCAAAATGAGATAAATAAGAACTCTATTCAAACATACGCACCTCTCCACACATATGTCTCCATTATGAGATTTCTAATCACCCTTCTCTGCTTTAGCTTTTCTTCTTAGCATTATCACTACCTGATACTATAACTTATTTATAGTGTATATTGGCTACAAATTCCAATAAAATGTAAACACAAATTAGAGCACAAATTTTTGTCTATTGTGTTTATTGCTGTATACCCAGCAGCTAGAGTTACACCTGGCACGTAGTAGGCATTCCATAAATATTTGTGGAATGAATTAATGAATGACAAAGCTAACATACATTAAAGCAAAATAACCAAGTCTTTAATAGGGTTATATGAAATCTAGCTACAAGAAGGATTCAGAGAAGGGGGACAATTTAAAGCTAACATTTTTCATAGAAGAGTCTGAAGAAAAAATGCTATTCATGCAGGGTTGTGAAATCTAGACTGGGTTTGAATAGTTGAGATGAAGAAGGGAGCTATTAAAGCTGAAGAGAGTAAAGAAGCAAAGGTGAGTAGACATCAATGAGTAACAGTGAAGACCCAGCCTTGCCTGGAGTAAATTAAGGTGATCTATGTCTCTGGCTTTCCAAGGTACTCCCCAAAGTGTTTAGCTAACGATTTGTTCTTACATGTACATGTTTTTACCTTTTGTAGAACCAAATTTATTTGTGTGTATTTTTCTTTAATTCTGAATACAGTGGATACAATAGAGAGCAGAAATCAATTATTTAATACACTAGAAAAATGCCTTTTGTGAGTGGGTCAAAGAAATAGCTCTAGATGATAGAAGAGACTTGGAAGTGAATTACAGGTTTCAGTATGCAGTGCTGTGCTGGTTGACAAGTGAACAAACACCTTCATAAATTAATAGCTCTTAATTGTAGCTTGAAAGGCAAATAAATGGGTGGTTTAGATTTTTTGTCTCATTTCATCCGTAATGTTATGAAGTATGACCCCTGTTGAGTTTTTCTTGCTTGAAAATAGTGAGCTAAAATTCAGTTGTTTTTCCAATGACTTTGTCCAGGTTAATTCTTTACTTCCATCTTCTCATTGCTTAAACAGGAATATAAGGTCATGTTCATTAATGATTTGGATGTATTTAGTACTTTAAAGACAGTGACCTAATTTTGATAGATCATGATATATTTTGATATGTGACATGCCACTGGATTGCAAATAATATCCTAGTATGACTTCCTGCTGCATTTCTTGGACGGATGCTGACATTTCTGAGGTTATTGCTAGAATGCTCTTTTGTTTTTTTATTCTGAGGCATTTTTTTTCATGGCTTATTTTTAGATTTTATATAGCATCTTTCCTTTGAGGGGCTCAAGGCAAATTTTGCAAATGTGAACAATCTTCTTTGGTCAGTGTGTTTTGGTTTGGAGAAGGAAAAAAAATTGAATACTAATTTCCTGCATCTGTATGTCCTACTAAAACATCAAACTGAATGCCCTTCTTACTTTTCCTTTTCTCTGACTTAAGGAGTTTTATTTTATACAGAGGCTTAACAGAGAGAGCTTAGACTTTGAATCACCAGTGAGGAGAATGAACCATTAAAACAAAACACAGCAGAGAGAGCCTTCAGGAAAGGCAGTGTGAAAGCACAAGGCAGATTGTCAAAAACTGCTCTAGGTGATTGCGAAAACCCTCGGCAAGGATGTTTTCAGTCAACACAAGTGGGTCGCTTAATTTTTCGAGTGAATGCCCTTAACAGGGGGACTTTAGTTGCAGTCTCACTAGCCAGAGCTGTCTCATTATAGGAGATGTGGTCCAGTCTATGAAATGTTTATTTTGTAACTAACCCCTCTAGCAGTGGAGGGAACTGTTTACTATTCCTTCTTGTTCTCTAGTGTGTGTATGTGTGGTTTTTTTTTTTTCCTCTTAATTAAAGAAATCACTGTTGAACTTCAGAAACCTCTCCAGGAAGAAAAAATAAAGAGAAAGAAAAAGAGAGAGAGAGAGAGAACAGAGGGAAGAAAAAGAAAAAGAAGAGAAAATAGGGTTGAAAACTGTGTCTTTTGCTCATTCATTCTTAAGGATTATTTCCAGAAGAATTGTAATATTCATTGACCTCCCCAGGAGTGTGCGTGCATGAAAATGTGTGCAAACGTTTGTGTGCAGGTCTGAGTAAGAAACAGTGCTGTGTAAACAGTGTCAGTGTATCCCACCAGCTAACATTCAAAGTTTTCTTTGTTAATGATATTCTGAAGGAGAATTAAAGATGGAACCTGATGCTATTCCATATGAACAAAAATTACATAAGCCAGTAGGAAAATCTAAATTCTGAATGTGGTTTGGGTTTCATTGGAGTTTGCAAAATTATTAGGCAATGGCATACTATTTAAAGGGAATGTTTGTCTTTTCATTCTAGCCAGCATCAAATTATCGCAAAGGAGTTAAACATCTAAAAGAAAGGAACTAAAACAGGTAAGTCTGAGTAGTCTGTGATCTTAGAACATAAACACAAGACACCTTTAAAACATGTAATCATGCCTATTTCCACATGCCCCAGAGCTACCAACATTTTAAAATATTGGAAGTAGATGGCTGATAAAAACATACTTTTAGTATTACAGAGGGCTTAGAATGGTGGCAATGTGAAATGCATCCAAAAATTAAGGTTATGATTTAGAAAATACCCAGTTATTAGACATATGAAGTAGATAAGTGAAAGAAACATTTGAAATCTTTGTTTTATGTAGTAATTATGTTCCTGACGGGTCCTATCATAATTAAATGAGCAGCTTCTATTTATAAACGTGTTAGAAAGCCTTAAGATAGAAAATGCTCTGTTCTTTTAGATTCAGAGTTTAGAATTTGTAGTTTCACGTATATTATGGGATATATTATGGGAAGCTTGGTAATGTATCCTTAAAGTATTGGGATCACTGACTCAGTTCCAATGTAATAGAAACAGACTCAAGTTTCCTTGCTCAAAGCTGCCTCATACGGCTATGCAGGCTGAATAGAACTGAACTCTAGAGTCACCATTCACACAGACGACAGTGCAAAGTATGACGCCTAGAACTATATAATGCTTGAAATACAATAATCACAGTGAGAGGGTGCTCAAATGCCTCTTGGGTGAATACTGTGGTGTGAAATTCATATTGGTAGTAAATTCAGACTTACTTCCTAATATAATTTGAATAATTCAAAGGAAGTCTTCTACTAAACATTTTATACCAGAAATCAAGAAATTGAGTAATCATTTATTCCCAGAGATTGAGAGAATTTTCTAAATTTCTCTTTCTTCTCTTTTATCCTCTCCCTTAAATGAACATACTAATCATGCAGTAAATTTGTTTAAAAAGCAAATAATCATTTTGAAATGTCAATAATGATGTCCCAAGGTTCTAATTTATCTTTTTAAAGAGGATTGTATTTCATATTTTGAACTGGTTTTTAACAAGGCTAACATTTTACTATATAATCCTTTATGCTTTAAAAGTATTTGATATAAACTGTGTTATGTGATTGTTATGACTATGCCATGAAAGAGGAAATGAGCATGATCATTCTATGTTACAGACAAGAAAGTCATTGCTCAGGAAAGTAACAGCCATATTCAAGGTCACCCAGAAAGTAAGGACAATGCTAGGATGACAATTTGCTCTCCTCATTTCTATATTTGCTACTTTCAGGCTAATTATTTACATTTTTACCTTAAATCATAAAGTTTAATGTATCTATTTATCTAACATATCTATGATTTTTTTCTTTCTTTTTTTCCTGTTTGTTAGTGTACTAGTGAAATTGGAAATATACCTATTAAATACTGAAGACAAGGAAAATGTATCCTGCTAGGTTGGAAAAAATTTAAAAATTAGTGAAAAAGATAAAAACATTATGTACTGGAAGATTAATGAACTCACTCTCAGTGGTCCCAAGTTCATTTTTCTCATGCTAGAAAAGATTCCTTAGAATTATGCATATAAATTATCAAAAAAATCAATAAATCCATTAAATCTCCCTTCTCACACACATCATCAATGGATAACAAAATTGGGTTGGTGATAACTTTTACTTGTTAACAGGTTATTCCAATTATTGGGTAGAGACAGGTTTTATAAATTCTGGAAATCTTAAAACGTCTTGTCTCTCAACTCAGTGACTGAAGTGTAGCAATATGGGTTGAATCATTTTCTCATCTTTATTTCTGATATTGACTCCAATAAGTTAAAATTGCAAGTGTTGGTAATAAGCAATCTGGAGGATTAGCCAAAGTACACTGTTTGCCTGTGTCAGAACCTGTTAGTCAGGCTCTGCAGGACTGACCTACATTGCTTCTTAATGCATCTCTTTGTAGAAAGGTAATTCTAATATTACCATTGACCTACCTATTACTTAACCTCATTTATTAAATATCTTCCGTGTGCAGGATATTTTACCAGATAAAGAAATTACGAAGAGTAAGCGCATAGAGTAAAAACAGAAAGATATCTATTTTAGATGAACACTGAACTTTATATCACAGAAATAATCCACTAATATACGGTTCAATATGCATTACTTGCTTTGAGAGCCATAAGTACCTTTAGTAAATAAATGCATTTATTGTACATTACAATGAAAAATGTGTTAAATAACAAATGAGTGATTACTAAAAGCCTATTTTAAACATACATAAGAACAACTAATTTCATGAATGAAAGTGCATATCTGGTGGATATATGTAATCTTACAACATTGGTTTCACTCAAGTTTTTAAGCATTTTTATAGCATCTTTGTATATTATGGGACAGCATAAATTAAAAAAAATCTATATGTAACTGCCATCTATCTTAGAAAAAAGTAACAAAAATTAAAATTTACCACTTTTTGCTTATGTGAAAGTGGTACATTTGAATTTTTATTATGTCAGTAATGAAGATTATATGTTGGCATATTGAATCCTGTTTTATCTCCAGGTTTTATTCATAAATGTCTCACTGTTGGAACCTGCATGAATGAATGCTGAATCTCAAAAATCAGACACATTGGACTTGGAATAATGTCCACGTTCTGATTCCAATCTGTGCTTAAATCTGAACCACTCAGTTCTTCATGCTTGTTGGAATCCTCCTAAGACTGGAATTTCCTGGGAGATATCCAGTACTTTTTGGGCTGTAAACAGCAAAGCAAACAGCCTTTCTTGTAATATGCTATGTCTAGTGCTAACTGAATTCAAGAAGTTGATGGGTGTGGGGAAAGTAACTTGATTTCTTTGCAAACTTACAAATTTGGTTCAGCTTAAATTTTGACCAAAAATTCATCTCAGGAATGAATATGTTTTGGAATAATCCTTTGCTATTAGTTATAAATGTGGTAAATATTGTTTAAACAATAAAATATTATTTTATACAGCAAATTATGGCAACAAATTCCTTGTAGTGATATTTTTTAAATCTTTAAATCATAGATAAGGATTTATTATGCTCCATGTCAATTATATGCATGTTTGTGTGTATGTGTGTGTATATGTGTGTGTATATATATTTCATTTAATCTCTGAGAACAGTCTGAATTTTCATGTTTCTCTATTGTACACAACTGAAAAACTTAAGACAAAGAGAAAGAAATATCTTATTAGTACATTGGTAAACGTGCTTGATGCCAAATATAGACACACAAAATACATTTAATGATTCTATAAGAACTCTTAAACATCTACAAGAAACATCTTATCAAATTGATTTCCCCCTTTGTCCTTAGTAAAAAAATCCTAACGTTTTCAGGTTGACACAATGCCACTCAGTTGACATTTCCCAACCTCCTTTGCATTTAAGTGTTGTCACATGACTAGGTTATGCCCAAAGACAATTAAGTAAAAGTGTTGGGTATAATTTTTCTGGAAAGTCTCCTTAAAAATATGAGGGTTTTTCCTTGCCCTCTTTTTTTTCCTTGTTATTTAGAGTATGAGTATTATGTCTGTAGCTCCAGCAGCCATCTTGGACCAGAATATGATGGTCTGGAGAATGTAAACCATGTGCAGAATGATACTTAAAGACAAGGGACTGTGCACTTCATTGAACCATAAAGCTACCATAGTTGCCTTGGATACTCCCCTTGTGGACACCTTTTATGTGCAAGAAAAATAAACTATCTTGTTTAAGCCACTGTTATTTGTGGAATTTTCATTACATGCAGTTGAACCAAGTCATAATGAATTTAGGACTATGATTGGGTTGCTGCAAAACAGAACCTAAAATATGACTTTGGCTAAGTGAAGTGAGTGGAGAGGAAGATGTTAAGAGGTGAAAAACTGTTAACCATGTTATGTGGTTGCAAAACATTTAGTCAAGTTATTGCCTGCTACGTCTTGAAGACTACATGCTTCGTAATGTATAGTTGGACGAATGATAGGAAACGTTAGTGTATTTTAATTGTCTTTTGTTCTTTACATCGAGAAAGCTAAGCTCAGACTAAGACAAAAGCCTCAGAAATCCTAGATGGGAAGGGGGGATTCAGAGACGCTCAGTTTGCCTTCAGCCTACAATCTAAGTATGACATAGAGGCCTGTAATTTCAAGGCTAGTAGGATTGACAAAACAAAACTACCCTCATACACGCCACACTGAATTACTTTCCTTTAAGATTTCTCTACCAAAACCTGGGATTCAGACAACTGACAAAAATCGCAGTGAAAATGTTGACTTCTACTCGTGTTTCAAGGGATCTCCGAGTAAATGCCAGTTATTGGTGCCAATGCCAGCAAGTTAAGGATTGGAATCTTCACGTTAGAAACTATGTCTAAACATGATCTTCATCTATGGCTACTTTAACATGCAATTAATTACACATACTCACACGAAATCCAGAAAACTTTTCTGAGTGGATCATGATGGCATCCACTAAGGTCCAAAAGTAGAAAGGATACCAGGATTCTCCAAAAAGAGATACCATCAAGGGAAAGAAAGGACTAGGTACTAGCTTTTACAGAGCTAGATAAATCAAAGAAAGGTTGGAACCTTAGTAAGCATCCATTTTGGAATGGTATGGTCCTTTGAGTAGCTACGGTTGAACATGTGAGTGTAAACCAAGACGGCTGACATATTTGGTGGCAAGGCAGAGTAGATTACTGTGGCCCATGCAGGGTTTGTAATCACTGTGGGAATCACAGATTCATGAGTGTGTGCAAAGTCAGTTTTGTATATCTACACATTGCAGCAGCAAAAAGCATCAGCAATATCAGTCTAGTGTCTTCCAATTTCTCTCTGCACTGGAAATTTGGGGGAAAAAAAAGAAAAAAAAAGGGCCAGGCGCAGTGGCTCACGCCTGTAATCCCAGCACTTTGGGAGGCCGAGGCGGGTGGATCACGAGGTCAGGAGATTGAAACCATCCTGGCTAACACGGTGAAACCCCATCTCTACTAAAAATACAACAACAACAAAAAATTAGCCGGGCGTGGTGGTAGCCGCCAGTAGTCCCAGCTACTTGGAAGGCTGAGGTAGGAGAATGGCGTGGACCCGGAAGGCAGAGCTTGCAGTGAGCCATGATAGCACCACTGTACTCCAGCCTGGGCGACAGGGCAAGACTCCGTCTCAAAAAAAAAAGAAAAAAAGAAAGCCTGGCCAGTTGTGGTGGCTCCTGCCTGTAATCCCAGTAATCCCAGCACTTTGGGAGGCCGAGGCAGGTGGATCACCTGAGGCCAGGAGTTCAAGATCAGCCTGGCCAACATGGTGAAACCCCGTCTCTACTAAAAATACAAAAATTAGCCAGGTGGGGTGGCACGTGCCTGTAATCCCAGCTATTGGGGAGGCTAAGGCAGGAGAATCTCTTGAACCCAGGAGGCAGAGGTTGCAGTGAGCTGAGATCATGCCATTGCACTCCAGCCTGGGTGTCACAGTGAGAACCCATCTCAAAAAAAAAAAAAAAAAAAAAAGAAAAGAAAAGGAAAGAGAGGAAGGAAGGAAGGAAGGAAGGTAGGAAGGAAGGTAGGAAGGTACAAGGAAGGAAGGACGGAAGGAAGGAAAGAAGGAAGGAAGGAAGGGAGAGAGAGAGAGAAAGAAAAGAAAGAAAGAAAACCTATTTGGACTGAATAAGGCCTGATATTAATAGAAATGTGTAGTTGGGGAGAGAGAGATCGGACTTTGTATTACAAAGGATGTGGTAGTCCAAGAAATTACTCAAAAACGTTTTTCAAAGGTGATTAGATTTCCACCACATGTTGATGAAGTTGGTTGTCCTGGGTACATTAAAAAATGGCTTCTATCACTAAAGCAGGCTGAAAATCACTACTACACAAATAGGTTTTTAACTAAGATATATGAGTTCTTGTGCAAGGAAAAGAAATCGTGAAAGTGCTATTTTAAATAAACCAATCTTTCCCATTAGTTTTCTCCTCTTCTCTGTTTCCCTCTGTCTGTTTCCTCCCACTCCTTTTCTACCTCTTCTTTCCTCTGCTGCCCCTCTCCCTACACTCAGCATGAAGAGTTCTGAAAATGATTTAACAGTCATAATACAATAATCCTAGTGATTATAACGTGCTTGCCTTTTTATAATTTTTCTTTTTTATTTCTCAATTATTTGGCTTCTGTTAATTTTCTTTTCTTACTCTATGCCAAATAAGAGCATAGATCTGTTGTTTTTTATTCCCTTGACTGATCTCAACTAGATCTTGGCCATGATTTAATGCATGGCCAGGTGCAGTGGCTCATGCCTGTAATCCCAGCACTTTGGGAGGCAGAGTTGGGAGGATCACTTGAGCCCAGGAGTTTGAGACCAGCCTGGGCAACCTGGTGAGACCCCGTTACTACAAAAAATACAAAAATAACAGCTTGGCATAGTCCCAGCTACTCGGGAGGCTGAGGTAGGAGGATCACCTGAGCCTCAGAGGTTGAGACTGCAGTGAGCCATGGTCACACCAATGCATTCCAGCCTGGGTAACAGAGTAAGGCCCTGTCTCAAAAAACAAACAAACAAACAAACAAAACTAGCTCCATTCATATTTTATATCTTGTATCTACTTCCTAGAGAAAAGGATTAGAATTCAACTGGATTCAAAATAGATGTCTCCTGTTATTTAAACATGTAAATCACACACACACACACACACACACACACACACACGCACACACACACACTTTGGCATGGATTGCTTTTTCCAATAACTTCTGATCAAAATTTCCCCATTTATTGCAAATGTAGCTATACATTAATCTTGGAGTAACCCCAAAGCAATGATCTCTCTGAGCCACTTTATCCCTACAAACCTGTTTCCAAAACTCACATAGCCTGCTGCCGTTCTTTTCTATCCATCTGTTCTTCTTTAAGTTTTGACTGGAGTTTGTTTTTTGAAGAGCTATGAACAGTTAGTGTTATGCATTTTTCAAGTCCAAAGACTTCCTGTAGATAAATTAGTTACATGTACTTACTTTTTCGTGCTGCAGATTTTTCTTTATTCATTGTACTTTAAATTTCTCATAATTGATGAGTATGAACATACTTCATTTTATTATGCTTTATGCTTTGCAGATGTGTCTTTTTTTTTTTTTTTTTTTTTGCAAGTTGATGGTTTTTGGTAACCTTGAGTTGAACAAGTCTATTGGTATTCAAAAACTTGTGCTCAGTTTGTGTCTCTGTGTCACATGTTGGTAATTCTCTAAATATTTCAAACGTTTTCATTATTGATATATCTATTATGGTGATCTTTGATGTTTCTATTGTAATTGTTTTGGGGCACCACAAACTGTGCCCATATAAGATGGTGAACTTCATCCATAAATGTGTGTGTTCTGACTGGTTATTGCCGTTTCTCTCCCTCTTCTTAGGCATCTGTATTTGCTGAGACACAACAATATTGCAATTAGGCCAATTAATAACACTACAATTCTATGTGTTCAAGTGAAAGGAAGAGTCACAGGTCTCTCACTTGAAATCAGAAGCTGGAAATGATTAAACTTCATGAGGAAGGCATGTTGAAAGCTAAGACAGCCCAAAAGCTAGGCCTCTTGCACCAAAGAGTTAGCCAAGTAGTGAATGTAAGAGAAAAAATCTTCAAGAAATTGAAACTACTACTCCAATAAACACATGAATAATAAGAAAGAGAAACAGCTTTATTGCTGATATGGCGAAAGTTTTAGTGGTCTAGGTAGAAGATTAAACCAGCCACAACATTCCTTTAAACAAAAGCCTAATCCAGAACAAGGCCCAGACTCTCTTTAATTCTGTGAAGGTTAAGAGAGATAAGGAAGCTGCAGAGAAGTTTGAAACTAGTCAAGTTTTGTTCATGCAGCTTAATGGTATCTTCATAACATAAAAGTGTAAGGTAAAGTCACAAGTGGTGATGTAAAAGCTACAAGTTAGCCAGAAGATCTGGCTAAGATAATTGATGAAAGTAGTGATGTGGTTTGGATATTGTCCCCTCTAAATCTCATGTTAAAATGTAATCTCCCAATGTTGGATGTGGGGCATGGTGGGAAGTGTTTGGATCACGGAGGTGGATACTTCATGACTTGGTGCTGTCCTCACAATAACCAGTGAGTTCTCACGAGATCTGGTTGTTTAAAAGTATGTGACACCTCCCCGCTATCCTTTCTCTTGCTCCCACGTAAGCAACGTGATGTGTCCACTCCTGCTTCACCTTCTGCTATGAGTAAAATCTCCCTGAGGCCTCTTCAGAGGTTAAGCAGATGCCAGCATTATACTTCCTGTATATCCTGCAGAACCATGAGCCAATTAAACCTGTTTTCTTAATAAATTACCTGGTCTCAGATATTTCTTTTATTTTTTATTTTTTTATATTTTTTGAGATGGAGTCTCGCTCTGTCACCCAGGCTGGAGTGCAGTGGCACCCTCTTGGCTCACTGCAAACTCCGCCTCCTGGGTTCACGCCATTCTCCCACCTCAGCCTCCCGAATAGCTGGGACTACAGGTGCTTGCCACCATGCCTGGCTAATTTTTTGTATTTTTAGTAGAGACGGGGTTTCACCGTTTTAGCCAGGATGGTCTCAATCTCCTGACCTTGTGATCCACCTGCCTCGGCCTCACAAAGTGCTGGGATTACAGGCGTGAGCCACCGCGCCTGGCCTCCGGTATTCCTTTATAGCAATGCAAGAACAGCTTAACACAGGGGGCTACTCTGACAGATTTTTAATGACGACAATGCGGCCTTATATTAGAAGATGCTCTCTAGGATTTTCATAAAGACAAGAAGCCAATATCTGGCTTCAAACTTCAAAGGACAGGCTGACTCTCTTCTCAGGGGCTAATGCGGCTGATGACTTTATGATGAAATAAATGTTCATTTACCATTCTGAAAATCCTAGGGCCCTTAAGAGTGATGTTAAATCTACTTTGCCTGTGCTCTATAAATAAAAGAGCGAAGTCTGGAAAATGGTCCATCTGTTTATGGTATGGTTTATTGACTATTTTAAGCTCACTGTTGAGACCTACTGCTCAGAAAAAAAGATTCCTTTCAAAATATTATTGCTCATTGGCAATGCACCTAGTCATCCAAGAGATGTACAAGGAGATGAATGTTGCCCATGCCTGCTACCACAACATCCATTCTGCAGCCCATGGATCAAGGAGAAATTTTGACTTTCAAGTTTTATTAAGAAATACATGTTGTAAGGCCATTGCTGCCATAGACAGTGATTTCTCTGATGGATTTGGACAAAGTAAACTGAAAACCTTCTGCGTCGGGCATGGTGGTTCATGCCTGTAATCCCAGCACTTTGGGAGGCTGAGGTGGGTAGATCATAAGGTCAGGAGATCGAGATCATCCTGGCTAACGCGGTGAAACCCCATCTCTACTAAAAATACAGAAAACTAGCCGGGCGTGGTGGCACAGGCCTGTAGTCCCAGCTATTCGGGAGGCTGAGGCAGGAAAATCTCTTGAACCCGGGAGGCAGAGGTTGCAGTGAGCTGAGATGGTGCCACTGCACTCCAGCTTGGCAGAGCAAAACTCCATGTCAAAAAGAAACCAAAAAAGAAAACCTGGGAAGGATTCACCTTTCTAGATACCATTAAAAACATCTGTGATTCATGGATGGAGGTCAAAATATCAACATTAACAGAAGTTTGGAAGAAGTTGATTCTAACCCTCCTGGATGACTTTGATAGGTTCAAGACTTAGTGGAAGAAAATAACTGCATAGGGGGTGGAAATCACTGCATATGTGGTGGAAATCACTGCATACGTGGTGGAAAGCTAGAACTGAAGACGTGACTCAGTTGCTACAATCTCATCATCAAACTTTAATGAATGAGGAGTTGTTTCCTATGAATGAACAAAGAAAGTAGTTTCTTGAGATGGAATCTGCTTTT